AGGGGGTTGTGCGGCTGATATGGGTTTAGTTTAGAATAAGTTTAGTATTAGGTTTTTTAAATTAAGAGATATATAGTAACTTTAGGGTAAATTAGTTTTTTAGTCCTCTAAGTTTTAGCGCGAATTTGCACTTTAGTCACTCGAAAGGGCTTATTTCGAATTTATCTATTGGTATTTGTCTTGATTTAGTTATTTTCCAAATTTACATTTTAGTTATAATTTTCAGGGTTATTTGATATTAGGGTAATAGTATATTTATTTATAATTCATTTAAGTCATCAAATCAATATTTGCATGTTTATAATTTTGTCTCTTTAGTTTATACTCATTTAATTTTGGTCCCAAGTTAGTGTATTTAATTTTTGCTGAATTTAGACATTTGACCTTTACATTTTTTGCATGTTTCTTTTAAGTCTTATATATGTTTAGAGGTTTATTTCAATTTAATTACATGGAATGTGATAGTTTATGTTTTATAACTTGATTTGTATCTAATCTATGATTTTAATTTTTAAGCTTCACCAAATCTTTCTCCTCGTGTTATGGTTGGTTTATTTGTGATTAATGATAGTGATAAAGTAGGTAAGATTTGTTGTAGTGGTTTATCTACCCATTTATTTTCAACCCTTATGTTTCTTTTTATTTTTTATGACAATCTAGGTGTAAAGGTGATATTACAAAGTTTAAAAATGAATTAAATGGTTCCATAATAGTTTTAGTAAATTATATTTATATTAAGTAAATTTGTTAATTATTTTGTTGTATATATATATATATAAATTAATTAAGAAATATAAATCTTGTTTTCATTTGTTTTAATAAGTTAACGCCGTGAACATTAATTTTTTGTTATATTATTATAATATATTTTTATTTAACCTCAAAGTGGATTATTTTTATTTTGTTAACATTATTTTATATATTTACATTTTCTTTGACATTATTTGTATCATTTTATTAATTAGTAGTGTTATAATTTGCATGATATCCTCACGTGCATAACTCGATATTATTACATAAATTGACTAAGGGTAATATTCTAGCATTTTAATATTGTCGTAAAGTGACTGTCTTAACGGATAAGAAAGTTACTTTCGATAATTTTAAAATGAAAGTCTATCCCATCAAGTGATACCAATTAAATTGAATCCATATTATAAAATTTGGGGATTGAGGAAAAGATCGTATTCTTTTAATTAAATTCATCGAGAAAAGACAGTTAGATCGAATCTATGGTCTCGTCTCTTGATATTTAATTAATTGAATATCCTTGTTCTCATTAAATATTGGTAAATAAATAATTAATCAATTGCTTGATAGTTTTTTTTTTTTACTTTTGCATGAGTTTTAAAGGGTTTTCAAAATAATAATGTTCGATCATAAATAAATAAATATTATTATTTTATCTCTAAAAATTATTTTGGGTGTTATTATTTTGAAATTTAGAATGAAATTTTAATATTTTTTATTTCGATTGGAGTAAGAATCGATTGCTTCAAGGTATGATAGATCATTTCTTCTCGATAGGAAATAATTAAATATTATTATTCTTTCATCCAAAATTTTGAAAAATATTATTTTAGGGGATCATAAATCAAATTAATTTTGAACTTATACATTTTATTACAAAGACAATTAATTAATCGACTAGGTACCGATTTAGGGCACTGTGGGGGTGCTAATCCTTCCCCACGTGTAACAGACTCCCGAAATCATTTTCTGGTAACACAGACCTAAATTTGTTGTTTTAATTAAAATTAATTTTTATTTAAAATGACAAAACGTTTTTGGGTGCCCAATCGCACCTTAATAAAAGATTGGTGGCGACTACTCGAACCGTATTTTTATCATAAAGGAATTTTCAAATTTTCGAAACGAGAGGTTTTTTAATCACATTCATTTTTAATTTAAATTTAATCTAATGAGAATAATTAAAAATTGGTGTGGTTTCCAAAATCTCACACGGAAAAAAACCGTTTCGACAATATATATGTTTGAATGAATATTATTCTAAATATATTTATAAATTACGAATTATAATTTAATTCAAACTCGACCTATAAGATATGTTAGAGTTTGTGATATTTTTTATTGATCTAGACTAAAAAGTTGGTATGATATATTTGATTAAAAAATAAAAAATATTAATTACAAATTTTATTATTTATTAAAATTTTAAATTTGATACTTAACGTTTAATTATAAATATAATAATTTTATTAAACTTAAAAGTAATAATAATATACTATTTATGTTTGAATGAATATTATTCTAAATATATTTATAAATGATATTATATTATTGTATCATCGACAATACTTTGATTTTAAATTATAAAAGAATATATATCTTTATATTATAAAACTTAGTTATTTGTGTAGTATAAAATAAGTTATCTTCGTATTAAATTTAAATAATAATATTTTTTCATATACAAAAGATGAAATTTCTTGTAGTGATTTTAGAAAGTTACCATGAAGCTATGAGAAAGGGTGATAGAGGCTAGGTTGAGACAAGTTACTAGGGTTTCGGAAAACCAATTTGGGTTTATGCCAGACAGGTCTACTACGGAGGCGATTCATCTACTTCGACGACTTATGGAGAAATACAGGGAAAAAATAAAGATCTTCATATGGCGTTCATTGACCTTGAGAAGGCGTATGATAGCGTTCCCCGCGATACGATCTGGAAGACCTTTGAAATGAGACGGATCCCAACTGCTTATATCCGGGCGATTCGTGATATGTACTGTAGATCTACTACATACGTCAGGACTACATTTGGCGACACCGAGGCATTCCCGGTGGAAATTGGACTCCACCAGGGGTCGGCTCTTAGCCCTTACATTTTCTCCTTGATTATGGACGACATCTATTGTGCGACACCACACGGTGTTCCATGGTGTATGCTTTTCGCTGACGACATTGTCCTAGTTGCTGAAACAAAAACTGAGTTGAATAGTCGACTGGCTACCTGGAAGACTGCTTTGGAAGAAAAAGGTCTAAGGATCAATATTGAAAAGACAGAGTATTTATGTTCAAACTTCAGTGGGAACCAAAATGATGAAGATGTAGAAGTATGCATAGAAGGACATGTTCTCCCCTCAAAGGATTATTTCAAGTACCTAGGGTATATGATACATAAAGATGGGGGTATGGGTGATGACGTTACACATCATATAAAGGCGGACTGGCTAAAGTGGAGGGCTGCTACTGGAGTTTTGTGTGACAAGAAGGTGCCTCTAAAACTTAAGGGAAAATTTTATAGAATGGAAATAAGACCAACATTGTTGTATGGATCAGAATGTTGGGCCATCAAGAAGGATTACGTAAGGAGGATGGAGACCGCAGAAATGAGAATGCTTCGATGGACATGTGGTTGGACTCTATGGGACATGACACCAAACTCTGTTATTAGGATGTCCTTGGGGGTGGTGCCTGTATCTGAAAAATTGAGGGAGTGAAGACTACAGTGGTTTGGGCATGTTCTTAGGCGATAACTGTTGGATGCGGTCAGGAGGGTAGAGTCGATTACAGTCGACGGTGCCAGAAGGAGATGACGACCAAGGCGGAAGTGGGAAGACTGCTTGAGATCTGATTTGAAGGATTTAGCCCTTACCGAGGACATGACCTCTGATAGGAAAATATGGAGACTTAAGACCAGGGTAGCCGAGTAGTGCGGGTCACATCCATAGGGTGTATCATCTCTATCTTCTTTTAATGCCTTTGTAGTAATTTCCATATACGTTTCTTTCATTGGAATTTATGAAGGCTTAGAACTAGGATAGCGGAGTAGTGTTGCCTTAGTTTAGGTTTTAACCCATTTTGACTTTATTCCTTCTCGTAGCTTGCTATCGTTAACTTCTGTATATCCTTCTCTTCATGTTTCCTCTTTTTAAATTTTGTCGGGTCTTACGTTTCTGTCTATATGCAGAGATTTTTTTATACAGGGATTTATTTGCAGGGATTACTTCCATTACAGACGCGTATATGAAGAAAGCATATGAAGACTGTTCAACTATGTATTTATTTATTTATTTATTTATTTATTTATTCATTCATATATGCATTGCATTTTATCTTTATTTTTACTTTTTTGACTGTCGGAGGTCTTCCACGGAAGTTGCTCTCAACTTGGAATTGGGGGCAGCCTACTACCCTACCTCCCCATTACCCCATTACATATGAGAATAGGGTTTTGTTGTTGTTGTTTATTTTTTCAAACATATAATAGTTTAACTTGCCTAATGATTTTATTAACAAGAGATGTGATTAGTATATACAAATAATTTAGGATAAAATTGAAATATTGAAAAAGTTTGGGGACCAATTTAGGATGAAGATCATAGGTTGGGGATGAAACTGAAATGTTCAAAAGTTTGAGGACTAATTTAGAATAATAATCATAATTAAGGATGAAATTAAAATGTTTAAAAGCTTAGGGACTATTTTGAAATGAGGGTGATATATTTGGGACATATGATGCAATTAATTCATTAATAATTCATAATTTGATTTAAATAAATTAAAAACCAATTTAATAAATTATTTTAGTATTTTTATATATTTTAACTCAATTATCGAGTTAAAATTAGGTCAATGTTTAGTTTAAATCGGGTTTAGTAAATTCAATTCGGGTTACTTTCAGTTCAAGTAATTTTATCTTCGGTTGCTTTTGGTTCAGGTTACATTTTCAAATTTCAGGTCAAATTTGAATCATCATATTCAAGTCTATTTCATATCTCAATTCGAGTAAATCGATTCAAGTAATCGATCTAGGTCAAATTTGTCAGGTCTAATTAGTGCTAATAAATCTACTTTATGTAACTACCGAATATGGGAGTACAATAAGAAAGCAGAAGGAAGTTTCAGGCTGTTGTATTTGAACAAAATAAAATTGGGCTTTCATAAGCTCAAACCATATCTCAGAGCCCAAAGTCCTCGAGTATTGGCCCCCAAAAGTGAAACCATCCTTTTTCCCGCGTTAGGGTTTTGTTTGCGAACTGATATTTAAAACCCTGAATATCGATTGCACACTCCGGATCTTCTTCACCGCAGAGAGAAAAAAAGGCAGACGCCATGGGTATTGATAACAATACTAATGCAAACACCATTTTTGTTTTCTTCATGATTTAGTTATTTCAATTGTTTGATCATAGTAGTGCTAATCTCTTTTTTACTTTTTTTTATGGTATGTTTGTTTTATAGCAAGGATCAAGGTACACGAGTTAAGGAACAAATCAAAGACAGAGCTTTTGAGCCAGCTCAAGGACTTGAAAGCTGAACTTTCTCTACTTCGTGTAGCCAAGGTCACTGGTGGTGCCCCTAACAAGCTCTCCAAAATGTAACCCAATTCCCTCTTCCTCCACTTATTGATTTTTCATTTTTTTTTCTTTAAGTGTGGGTTTTTGATGCTTTTGACGTTTGGGTTTTAGTAAGGTGGTGAGGCTATCGATTGCACAAGTGTTGACAGTGATATCCCAGAAGCAGAAGGCTGCATTGAGGGAAGCTTATAAGAAGAAAAAGTTTTTGCCTCTTGATCTCCGTCCCAAGAAGACCAGAGCCATTCGCCGCCGCCTTACCAAACACCAGGTTATCTATGGGTCGTTACTTTTTCAATTTTTGTTGTAATTTGTTGTGTGTTTAATTTATTGACATTTCCAGATTCCTTCGTTTTAGTAATGTCGTGTTGATGTGTATGTATGAAAGTGAAATAATCTTGACTGCCACTATCTTTAACTTTTTCCACCTAGTAGCTTCATTTTCCCATCATTCCAGCATGTTGAACTTAATTAAGATGCACCTTTGAACTTTTCTGTTGGCTAGTATTTGGTCCTAAGAAATGCACCTTCGAACATGTTCGGTGACAATTTCTGTTTATAGTTATGTTTATGTTTGGTACATGCAGAACAATGAAGGCTTATAGGATATTCTATTCCTCTATTTCCATACAGAGATTGAACTGTGTCTGTCATTGTGGTGGTTGCTCATATCCTAAGAAAATCGGTGCTTTCTGCTTCTTGATGTAATCAAATCTATTTTGGCTAGTAACCTCTTTTACGACCTTGATCAAGCTAATGAAATCACTAAAGTTATTAAGGGTCCTTGAGTTGACTCACCTACTGCAACATATGAAATAGCATAAGCAGAAAAAACACATAGAAAATGCAATGTTCAAATATTATCTACTGTTGAAGTGGAAAGCTGTTTTATGAATCTTGTCTCTATTTATGTTTAATGCTTGTCCACTTTGGGTTGTAAATGATCTACTTGTTCGTGTTTCATACGAGTTTGTCTATTTCTATTTTTTGCCTTCTAAATCATGTTTTGGATTTTCTTTGCTACATGTTATTACGAGTTAATCATGTCAGCAACATGACTCCGAACTCCAGAATGGTTAATTTGACATTGAGCTCTTGTGTTTTGGTTTATGCAGCAATCTTTGAAAACAGAGAGGGAGAAGAAGAGGGAGATGTACTTTCCAATGAGGAAGTATGCCATTAAGGTGTAAGCTCAAAACTTACATTATGATGGATACCCTTTCTTTGATAGATTCTAAATGCCTACTCAATGATATATTGTTTAACTTTCACTTCATTTTTCTCACTTGATATGAATTATTGGATCTTAGAGAAGAGTTTGATTGAGCCTTTTCTTTTATAATTTTATATAGGGTAAACTATATAAATGATCATTGAAGTATGAGTAAGCTTTTCTTTTTCCTATTAAAGTTTCGAAAGTAACAAAATAATCACTAATGTTATCGAAAAGTTATAAGATGGTCATTGCGTTGTTAAACACCGTCAAGTGACTAAAGGGAATCAAGATCCTCATTTCCACATTGGTTTTGAATTTCGCTCGACTTAAACTGATAGGTTGTTTTGTATAAAGAGCCAAATTGGTTATTATTACTAGAGTGAGTAAAACTCAAATCAATTAAAAAAATCAAAATTTTCTATTTGACTTGACTCGTATCGATTTGGAGTTGTCATAAATTTGAATTCACCCGATAAAATAACAAGTTTAAGTCAAGTTATAAAACACAACTAGAGTAATTTGAATGACTCGAATAGCTTAAAATTTTTAGTAATTAGTGAAATGGTTTTTAAGTGCGAGTCGAATTTCTTGATTTTGTATAATATATGTATATAACCTATGAAAAAATATAATAAAATAATTATATATTGTATATAGTTATAAAAAATTATTTAAATTGTAATAAAATAATACCATAGTATTATAAATACTTATAAATAAATTTAAATAAAAACTTGACTTGAATCTTATGAAGTCGACTCAAAAAATATCCAATTAAGTTTGAGTTATAACATATGATTTATCCATTTAAATAATTAAAAAATCTTTTAATTAACTCGGTCAAATGTTTACCTCTAATTATAACATATTTATTTACAAAAGATAACCGTTGACCAATTTTTTTAATCGGAACCAAACATGTGAATGATGTGCCATTTATTTACATGGATTTCAATAAAATACGAATCTTGGGTTGTGTATTCATTAATTTAAAAGAAAATATTTTATTTCTAAGTTTCTATGAAATTAGTTTGCTCTCAATCTCAAGTCATGGCCCAATTTATTATTTAAAAGTTATCCACTCAACCTTAACAAATTAGTTTGAATTAAGATCTTCTCTTCAACTCTACGAATTCATGTCTTAAAATGAACGGATAGTGTATATATTCACAAATGCATAGAAGAAAATGAAAGGGTAAATTATCTCTAATCTCACTTAATTATGAATTTAGTAACATCCATGCCACTTTTAAAACGGAAACTATAAACACCTTATCCAATTAAAATATTTTTATAAACATATTACTACGTTCAAGAACAGAACCAGGATTTTAATTTGAGGGACAAAATATAATTTTTCTAAAATTAAAGGGGCAATTTCATAGTTATTTCATATGTACTTCAATTTTATAAATAAATTATATGTACAAAAATTTGTCGGTTTTGGGGGAGGGCACATCCCGCCCATATCTTTAATAGTTCCGTCCTTGATTATGTCATTAGATATTCGATGGAATAGTAATGTGGTTCGATATAATAATAATTTTAGTCTTTGTTATTTTCATATAAAATTTAAAATAATTTTTAAGTTTGAAAATTTGGTCCTAGCTTAAAATAATTTAACCCTTTATATTAAGAAATTCTATCATTTTAGTCTTTTTATTGACCCGTAACGTTTCATTTTAGGACACAAATATTCATCTATGAATGAAAATCATTAGTTAATAAATAATTAACACTCTAAAATAGGGTTTTTTAATCATCAAATAAAACGTTGAGGGCTAAAGTGCTCTAGAAAAAAAAAGAATAAGGGTCAAAGTGATTATTTTAATTCTTTTATTTAAACTTTAAAGATTATGTAAAAGTACGAAAAAATAAAACTATTCTTATAATAATTAAATTATTATTTAAAATATATTTTTAATAATTTTTAAATTGAATGGTAATATTATAGAAAATTTAATCAATCATTAAATTTCATTAAATTTAAAAAAAAAATCCATCAATAAATCACACCTATAGGCTGTGTCGTATAATTGAAGTTTTATTGATTTAAATAGCGAAAAACAATAAGTGTATTATATAAATTATTAGGGCTATGGCTTGTTTGACGGTCAAACACCAGTAATGAAATAGTCTAATTTCTTTGGTCTCCTCCCTAAAAACTGATTGCAGTGTTGCTGTTGAAGGCCTGCAAATTTAATTACACATGTATACTTATTAATATAAAATTAAGGACAAATCAATCACACCAAGTCAGCCGATAGCTCAAAATAAATTATATTTGGAAATCAAATGTCATACTTGTATAAAGTTAATATTTTTTTTTGAAAAATAATTAAATCAAAAGATGAGATCAATACTTTATTTCATTAATTGACAGAATCTTACAAATAATTAAACTAAGAAAAAAATTGAAGCATCATATCTTAATTCCATTGGTCATAAAACTATTAAGGCCTTAAAATGCAATTTGATCATATCCCTCCCACCTCCAATTGACTTGGTCCCTAAAAACAAGCAAAAACAATTTCCTTAGGAGTGAAGTTTTGAAAACAAATAATTAAATATTTATTTTAGTATTCAATTAAATTATCAAATTGAGAAATTAAATTAATTAAGTTATGGAATTGGAAAATTTCATCAATTAAGTCTCTAAATTTGAGAAATTAAGTCATGTGACCAAAATTGAATGTTAAGCCTTAATATTTTTCAAGTGTTACTATCACATGACATGATGAGATTCTATCACATAAAATTTTTAAATTTTTAAAGAAAAATATAAATTGATATATTTTAGAAATTCTACTTGATAATACTATTACGTGATATATGATATAAATTGATAAAAAAACTATTAGATTAAACTATCAATATTGATCAAAGGATAGATTGATTAAATTTTTAAGTATAAGAACTTAATTTCGGTAAAAAGTTAAAAGTTTAATTAATATTTTTAAGGTTAGAGAATTTTAAACACACTTAGGGACGTTTAGATCACAAAAAAGATTAATACCAAAAGAGAATAATATTTTCCAGAATCACATTAATATGCTTGGTTCAAAAGCATTTTCACCGGGAGGTAATGAAACATTACCTACAATGTTTCTTTCACCTTGCATTGTCGGGAATCTCATTCTCCCATTTTATGAGGTATTAGACAATTTTCTCCCATTCAGAAAATAATGCCCCTGAAATAATATAATTATTTCAAAATGATCATTCCTTTTGTATATAATTATACAAGTGTAAATCTATTTTGTTTATTTTTTAATGATTTAGGAATTTTTTTTAATACTTATTATATAATAATATGATGCATATAAATAAAAAGTAAAATAAAAATATATCAAAATTTTATTTTATATTGATTATTTTTACGTATGTGTTCGATTCAAATTTTATTTTTGTACATATTTTATTACGTGTATTATTTATTAATTTTCATGAAAGGATTTTATATTATATTTTTTTAATATTTTCTATTAATGTTTTCATATAATATGATATAATATTTCATTTTACAACTCATACTTATAGCATAAATAAAAAGTGTAGCAATTAACACATACTTACATTGGTGTAAGTATGTACATCTCTCAACTTAGAAATAAACATGTACTTATACCAGTGTAAGTATGTACATCTCTCATAAAAATATATATTAATTTATTTGTGTATAAATTTTATTAAAAAAATATTAAAATTAAATATAATTGAAAATATATATTTTCGATGAGCTTTCATGTAAATATTTTGACTTTAATATTGTCAAAGAAAAAATATATCTCAAGGATAATTTAGTAAAATATACATTTTTCCTATCTTATATTCATTCAAACAAACATTGTAATCTTACATTCCTATAAAACAAATCAAACAATGTAATACAACATTCCCATTAATATATCAAGTAATGTAACATTATAGTAATGTCATTCCCAAATGTACTTAATTAAATATATAATAAATTTATTATTTATTTGAAAAATAAATTTTCCTATTAATCCTATGTCATCTTTAAGAGTTGAAAATATGTACTATAAATAACAACTAAATAGCTTTTAAATTGATATTATAGCTAAATAATTATGGGTAAACTATACATTTAATACTTAAACTATCAATTTTGGTCCATTTTAGTACAAACTTTCATTTTTTTTAAAATCATACCTAATATTTAGTTTTTGTTTCATTTTAGTATTCCACTATTAAAAACTTAACGCGATTTGTACCTAAAATATCATTTTTGGTTGGTTTTAATACATAAACTTTTAATTGTTTTTCAAAAATTAACATTAAATTTTGAACAGTAGTACTAAAATGAAACAAAAATTAACCTTTAGGTATGCTTTTGAAAAAATTAAAAGTTTAGGTATTAAAACGGATCAAAACTAATAATTTAGGTACTATATACGTAATTTACCCAATAGTTAAACATGTGTATGTATTTTACTTTGTATTTTCCTTTTTTGATTAATTTAATATGAAAGGAGTTGTTTGCTTTTCATAGCGTCTCAACCTTAACTAACCAAAGAAAGTAATAGATACAAACCATAAGTAACGTTAATCAGATGTGACATCCCTACTGGTTTATATTATTAATAAAACGGATAATTGATAGCAATTTTATAAAATGATGATACCGATTTAATTTTATAAAGTGTACACCATACCAGTGGTCTCTTTTATTTTTGATTTATTCTGTTTTGGTCACTCATTTGAAAAAACATTTTGTTGTGATCACTTATGTTTTTAAGTTATAACATTTTGGTCACTTAAATGTTTATCTTTTGTTAGATTGCTGGCCTGGCACGTTAACAAAAATTGTTAGTTTCTAATTTGATTCCTGAATTTTTGAAAGTTCATTTTCACCCCTTCTCAAACAAAAACAAAAAAATCTAAAAATTCTCCCAAAATTTCTCTTCTTCTATAACCCTCCCTTTGTTGTCAACTTGTCATCATCGTCTGCTGCCATCAGCCCAAATTAATTTGAATTAATGCTCAAATCTAAAATAAGTCAACACCAATTATGTTGTGATTAGTAGTAATTTAAAAATTAAATGAAAACATATTGTAATTAATATCAAAACAATCATCGTATTTACAACAAGAAAATCGTTCCAAATTTAACGTTATCTGGAATACGAAGGAGAAGAAATTTTTTTGGTTTAAAAATTCTAAAATAAAATTCTTGCCTATAAATTAAAGGTGATATACGAAGAAAAACCCTACCTAATTGACTGGAGATCCCAATATATAGGTTTAAAAGGACAACCTAATTGTATAAACCGTGCGTGGCCACTGTAGGGTTTCTTATCCCAAGTTCATTCCTATGATGTAAATAGTGATCAAATTGGTATAGGCTAAGCAAATCTTTTGATGACCATTTTGTGTTTCAATGAGTTGAGCAACATAAGTCACCTATGTGAAAGTAAGTGAGGCTGCTTTAAAGAGACTATCAGACTTAGTTCTTTCAAACTCTTGCAAAACCAGACTATGTTCATGGCTTTAAGGACATACCCATGAGAACTAAAATTCTTGTCAGAAAGGTAGTTGTGTGAAGTATATCATTGTTTACACGCACGTCAAAACAATTCAAGGACATCACGTCTACTAGTTAGCCAGTAAAGTAAATATATTGTTATAAGATAAGGTTCAAAGGAGGACACCTACCTATCCTATGCAACTATCGTTTGTAGGGTCTATCATCGCATTAGGTCAAAAATATTTTTGATAAAATTATCAATTTTATTCATGTGAGAGATTTTTGAAAAAGTTGTGATAAATTAGAAACTTTGAGGTGTATTTTCTTAGGGTAAAGGTGGAGATTTAAATAATGAATTTATTGATTCATATTATACTCCATAAAATCTTTACACGGTATCTTCTATGTTCAAACGATTGAGTGATAAATGAAAAATTGATGCTCAAAGTAGGTATATGTGGATTGTGTTGTGTAAGAAAAATGAAAACTCATATCTTACACTGGTGGGATAACAAGCATGAGAATAATTTATATACATCAACCCACTTGCTAGTTGTTAAATGACATGAGTTGAAATTGTGTCTCACGCAGAGGCGTAAGGGTGCAAATCCAAGCGTGGTGAACCTATCGAGGTTGGGGGTACACCCACATGACGTGAGCGATGCGAATGTCCAGACTGATTAGAAAGATTACTCATTTAGTGAAGTAGTGGAAAAACAAAAATAACATTTATAAATCTATCGAACAAAACATAAAATTGTTCATATTCAAGTGAACATGTATAGAATTTACCTTATTATTTATACAATATCCATTGATTGAGATAACTAGGGGCTCTTTAAAAAATTATTTATCTCATTATTGATTTTTTTATTAGTCTTGAGGGATTATAATGTAGTATTTCATTGGAAAATTATTAATTATTTAATAATGAATGCTTAAACACCCTGCAAACATCATATTTGAACTTGAGACCTCTAGGGATAACAATTATCCCTTTAATAATTGAGATTGCCTGGTCCGTTCTCATTAATAGGTTATCTCATTGTGATTAACTAACTATTAAATATTAAATAATTATTTTTGTAGAATTTGGGATTTGGATTTTGGTTCTTGAAGCGTAGTGGGAACAACAATATAATTAGTACGTATAATTAAGAGAATGCAGGTGCCTTTGCTAGACGCGTAATAGTTGTGAAATGGTTAATGCATTTTGTTAATAAAACATTGGATCGGTCATTTATGCGTGGAATTGGTTTTGGATTAGGTTAATTCGTTGTCGTAAGGTGTTACGTTGTTGAACATCTTCTGGAATATTGTGTTTTGTGGGTGAAAGAGTTGGAATTTAATGGGTCAACTTAAATTCTTGTGGGCAAAACGCACCCTAAGAAAAACAATGGGTCAAATATCATATCCTATTGTCTGTTGCCTCTCATGATATTATGACTTTGATTAATCAAACAGTTTATGAAATCCGACCACTAAAGACCAAGTTAATTTTGCAGACATAAATTGCATGAGCTGGAAGATGATTGGCATTGTAATATTTGTCCGAATTTTGAAATTCTTAAGACTGATATTAGCTGTAAGAAAGACCAATGTTGATTGTTTCAACATGGATTTATCTGTGTTGCATGAACCGAGGCACAAACCCATTGTAAAAGCCGTCACGCTGCATGGATTTGTGGTTTTGTAATAAAGAATAAGAGACAACGGTAAACAAATAGATATAATTGATATATATATATATATATATATATATATATTAATAAATTCTAAATCTAATCGTCGTTCTACTTAAAAGATAGAGGAAAGAGAAATTTTAAGAAAATGAATGAGAACATTCTTAATAAGTTTAAACTCACGACTTAAAAAAATATGAAATAAAAAAATAAACAATTTGATCAATCGACCAAATGTGTTTACTCTCGAAAATGAATATTTTTAAGTTCAATATTCATACAAACGTGAAATGAATATAGATGAGACGATTTTCGTCATTAGTAAGAATGATGGCTTTATTTTGTTTCTTATCGTTTGTAGTTGATGCTAAGGTATTACTAAGGCCAGATGATTTCCAACAAGAAACATGTCATCAAATTTTAAAATTAGACAGCTAAGAATAACGCGAAATCATTAGATTGGCTACAACAAAAGAGATTTACGTGGTAACAAATCTACCAAAGTGGTAAAAAATTAATTTACCGACTTTAGCATTAAATCAAAATATCTACCACATGAAAGAAAAAATATCTTCAAGATTATATATATGGATAGCTTCAAGTATAAATATTCAAACTCCATAGCACTTCATTTGATCGTTTTGGTTTATTTTAACAAGTTATCTGAATGTATTTTCGATGACTTGTAACTTAAAAAAATAAAAGTAACTCTATGATTATAAACAATATAAATTTCCATCTAGTTTCCTAGATCGTTACTACCCTAGAAAATATTAGAAAGGCAAGTTCAAGAATATTTAATTATGGCAGAATGAATCAAAAGTAATTCTTAGAGAACAAGAAAGGCAGGCCATCATAAAAAAAAAGCGGGAGTATTGAGAGTTTTGGTTGATTTTTAGAGGTGAATAAATTTGACTTAATTGAAAAAAAGAGTTAAACTTGATATTAAAAAAATTAATTTGAATTGTAATTTTATAAATTTATTTTGATTCAATTTTTTTTAAATTGAAATTGAGTTATAAAATAGAATTCAAAATTTTTATTAATAAACGGATTGATTTTTAAGTTCGAGTCGAGTCTCTCAATTATACATTATATATATAATTATAAATCACGTGTAAAAATATGAAAAAATATATAGGTATATCATATATGATTATATAAAACTGTTTAAATCAAAATTAAATAGTATCATAATATTATAATTATTTATAATAATATTAAAACAAAAACTTGAAAAAATCAACCTAACTCAAATTTTATAAATTAATTAATTCAAATAACTCAAAATTTTAATTTTACTCGTTGGAATACCTACTGATTTCAATAGTTATCTTATTATGATCAATATTTGGACTTTTTGAAGTGGTCATTGTCAGCCCCTCACGTAATCTCAACAAACTCTACAGTTTGATTTTTTCCAATTCCATCCCACCGCGTGGACTCTTTACCCTCTGTTTATATATACCCATATCCCCCCCTCCCCCCATCTTCACTAACTGCTCTGCACAAGAAATAGTATACAAATTTCACTTCTTTCTTCCTTCGTCTCGTTATATACCTACAAACTCCATTTAACTCAGCCTCTAAATGCTAAGAAACTGAATGAGGTCCATCTTCTTCAAATCCCCATCTCCTACGAGGATGACTCCTCCTCCTTCCCCTCTCCACCACACCTTCTCCGAGTCATTAATGGAGGAAAACATTGAAGTTGCCGACTTTATCATCACCAAATGGGAAACCGATGTTGCTTCCCTTTTCTCCGATAGGGAGGAAGCCAGACAATATTTGGTTTCCATTAAGGGACTTCAAAAGGCCATGCAATTCTTGGTCTTACACCACTCGAATTCGGAGAGACTCGTCCGAGCTCAAAAACTGATGCAAACAGCCATGAAAAGGCTGGAGAAGGAGTTTTACCTGATTTTGAAGTCCAACCGGGCTTATCTTGATCCGGAATCCGTTTCGGCTCACTCGTCCTCAAGACCATCCGTTTCCAAGTCTATATTTTCGGATTTTGAGGAAGAGGAATTTGAAAACGAGTCGACGGACGAGAATGATTCCATATCTGAAGTAGAGAGAGTGTCGTTCGCAGCCATGGCGGATTTGAGGGCTATTGCGGAAGCTATGATATCAGCTGGGTACGCCAAGGAGTGTATCAAAATTTATAAGATTATTCGGAAATCGATCGTCGATGAAGCTCTCTACCATCTCGGAGTTGAACGGGGACTCACTTTTCAGCAGGTTCAGAAGATGGAATGGGAGGTTCTGGAGGTTAAAATAAAGACTTGGTTAAGCGCTGTTAAGATGGCGGTTAAAACCTTGTTTCATGGAGAGAGAATCCTCTGCGATCAAGTGTTCTCCATTTCAAGCCCCCTCAGGGAATCTTGTTTCACGGAGATTTCCAAAGAAGGAGCTTTGGCCCTGTTTGGTTTCCCGGAAAATGTAGCCAATTGCAAGAAAACTCCCGAGAAAATGTTCCGTGTCTTGGATTTATACGAAGCGGTTTCCGATCTTTGGACTGATATTGAATCAATCTTCAGCTTCGAATCAACCTCCGCCGTACGATCAACGGCGGTTAACTCCTTGATCAAACTCGGTGACGCCGTTAGAACGCTGCTAACGGACTTCGAAACGGCGATTCAGAAGGATTCATCCAAGACGACGGTTCCGGGAGGTGGAGTCCACCCCCTAGCACGCTATGTAATGAATTACATAGCTTTCCTCTCCGATTACAGCGGGATCCTCTCCGATATTTTCGCGGATTGGCCGTTCACGATTCCTTCAGCTTTACCGGAATCTTACTTCGGAAGCCCCGACAACGAGGAAAGCATTTCATCGCCGATATCCGTCCGGATAGCCTGGCTTGTACTCGTCATGTTATGTAAACTCGACTCGAAAGCCGTGATGTATAAAGACGCGGCACTTTCTTATTTGTTCTTAGCAAATAATCTCCAATACGTCATCGGTAAAGTCCGTCAATCGAATCTGAATTTCCTCCTCGGCGACGATTGGGTGATCAAGCACGAGCAGAAAGTGAAACAGTACGCTGCGAACTACGAGAGGATCGGATGGAGCAAAGTGCTTGCATCACTGCCGGAGAATCCAACGGCCGAGATTTCAAAGGATCAGGTGAACAATCATTTCAGAAGATTTAATTCCGCTTTCGAAGAAGCTTATATGAAACAGTGTTCTTGGGTCGTACCGGACCCAAAACTCCGAGATCATATCAAAATCTCGTTGGCGAGACGGATCGTACCAATCTACAATGAGTTTTACGAGATTTACGGTGGAGTGGAGGCGAAGAAGGAACTGTGGGTTGAATCACTTGTCAGATACACCCCTGATGATTTGGGAAATTACTGGTCGGATTTGTTCTATGGAAGCAGAACCTCAGGGAGCGTTTCGTCAAGTTCAAGCCGAGGTGGCCGGAGTCATTGAACCGATGTGTTTTGGGGCCGTTGAAAAAATCGCCGGCCATGTAGGAATTTACGCTCGTGGCATTTCGTGGATAATAAGAACAAAGAGGCGTGTATAGTAGACTGATTATTTTGTTCATCACTTTTTAAATTGAAATGTATAATTCTTTGATTAATTAATTAATTTTTATACTTTCCCAGTTGTCTTGTTGTTTATGGCGTTTGCTTTTTTTAGTTTCATGTGTACGTATTTTTTCCTGGTGACGTGAGGGTTTGAATTAATCAACCAATTATTTAAAAGGAAGGTTGTAATTAGCAAGTCGTTGACAACGAAGAAAATGCCAAACAAATGATTGTAGAACAAATCTTCTTTAAGAATATGGAGTAAAAATAAATATTATTTATCGAAATAATAATTAAAATTAATGTGGAATAATATGTATTTTTATTTAAATATAATATTTTTAGAATATTTATAGAACTAACATCTAAAATTAATTATCCATATTCTTTATTTTATTTATAAATATTTTAAGTTAAGCATGTTTTTATTTGCTAAGTATTTTTTTTATTAATTGAGGGTAGTACATAGTAGTATATGTTCAAAGATAATTTTTAATCTTTCGACATTGAACGCTCACATCCCTGACATATATGGTGCTCGAACCCATATCCTCAGAAATAACAACAATTCTTTTTATCACATATGTTACTTGGTTCTTGCATATCATAAGTACCAAGTATGCTACTAGTTATTCTAAATTAGATTTTTTATTTCTAATTAAAAAATTATTTAACCCTAAAATTCTAAATCTCCATTTTTAAAATTATTCACCTTAATATTTAAATTATTTATTTTAATCTTAAATTATTTTAAATTTAGTTGTAATTTTTTAATTTTAAGTTATATTTTTATATTTTATTTTTAGATTATATAATTTAAATTTATAAATTTTATGTTTATTTTATGTATTATAAACTTTTTAGTTTTAATTTTTATGTTTTTCTATAGATTTTTCTAAAAAAACTTAATATAAATTAATAAAATAAAATAAATATTAACATGATACCCGTGACACGAAAATACGGGTTCCCGAGTTTTATGGGTACTCGCCTTACGGGTACCCGCCTCTTACGGGTCGGATCATGGTTCAAATTTTTTTGACCCGAAAGTCTCGAGTACCTGACATTTTGGGTACCCTAAAATTGGGTACTTGGATTTGATCACGCTTACTCCCAACCATTAAAAGTTATAAAACGGTCCCTCGACTATAGGACGTCACTTTATTGAGTTCATCGACCATTAAAAGTTACAAAATGGTCACTCGACTATTCATTTATTCCAAACTCATCATTTTTTAACGAAAAATGATGACAATATGAGCTAGATGTTAACTTATTGATTGAGATATGATAGTCGTTTGAGATTTGTTTATCAAATTTTATCATATCACAATCAACAAATTCACGCTCAACTTAAATTATCGTCATTTTTTAACCATAAAAGTGAGTTTTGAAACATATGAATAGTCATATAATCATTTTGTGATTTTTGATAGTCGGGGGAACTCAACAAAATAATCTCTTATAGTTAAGAGATCATTTTATAATTTTTAACATTCTAGAAACTTAATAAAACAACACCCTATATTCGATGGACCATTTATGTACTTTACCCTTGAAAATAATTTTCTCTCCGTTATTTGTTTTCACTTTTATTTTTAATTGCTCACCTAATACTTATAAATAGAGGCCTATATCTAGAATGATACATGGATTCCTGATCCTTTATGCGACTATGCCGTGTTTCCTACATTCACTTTGTAAGAATATTGGAATGACAAATTTCTTGAATGCAAAATTATGGGGGCTCTATGATGATATCTCCTTCGTCTGGGGTTAGGGATGGAGTTATGTGTAAAGTCAAGGGGTTATTGTCTTTAGTCTTTTAATATTAGAAAATATATAAAGATAAATATGCATTTAGATCTTTAAATTTTAGTTTATTTTAATTTCGTTTTTTGTATTTTGATTTATTTTTATTTTACTTCTTATATTATTTTTATTTGTTATATCTTACCCCTTGAAATAGAATCTAAGCTCCGTCTTATGTGGTCTAAGATGCGAACTTCTGAAGATTCAACCAAATTAGTCAAGATGATTGGAGATCCAAATGATGATAACAATTCTTGCTCTTTGTTTTCGAAGGTCATCTCCGCTAGTATAACAAATTATCCCTTACTAGTCAAGGGGATGTCATAAAGTGACATGACTCGAAATTAATGGTAGGAAGTATAATGGCATTTTTATGATTTCGTTGGGTGTTCTTCGATTGGAAATAGATGGTTGTGTTGGCCATTAACAATTCACCATTTATTGTTTAGACAGAGAGTCACGACTAATAAGGAATAAATGTCCTTTTGAGTTTATTTGTCATTGGAGGTTTTCTAACACTTGTCATTTTTTAGAGGCATCTCATTTTCTCTTTTAGAGAGTTCAATTTATTAAGGATAGTTTGACAATAAGCGATTGCGTTTTGACATCGGTAGAGAGATACTTGTAACACCCATTTTTTTGTATATCTTTTCGTACACAAGATATATATGTTACATCACTTTTAAAATAGTCTTTCATTTGAAATCCCTTAAAATTTTGTTTTGAAATTTATACTAAAACATTTTAGTATAAACATAAAAAAGTCGTAAGAATATACTACTAAAATTTCCACTTTGTATATATTTTAGAGAATTTTTTTTCTTAATTTCGATTACATGCCAACAAATGTTCAACATAAACATGATTGTCCTACCGTTATTGATGAGAGTCAACTTTAGATTTGTGATAGTTGCTACTGCACCCCGTATCCGACTAGTCTTTGCTTTTACCTACGCGTGAATTCAACACACGTTAAGTATTTATATAGTGAGACATAATATTGTAAAGAAACTGTAATTTATACATACGTATCTCATGACTATTAAATGACACATTAAATCGCATTTTCATATAGATAAGATAAATTATTCTCAGTTCAACTATATGTCTTTCATACATTCATCGAAATTATTCTTAGTACGTCCAGCATACCTATCCTTCTGTATTTTTTTCTTCATTATTCTATATTTGCCCTATGTACGTTAAATGAGAAAGTAATACACATGTATTGCACCAAAGTGCCAAATAGTCCTTTATCTTTTATAATTATCATTAGTGGCATCCTTTCATACCAATTATACATTGTTATATATTTTCATTTATGACATCCTTTCATGCCTTTAATGCACCGTTATCCATTTCATTTATTTTCAAGTTATTATCATTTCATTGCGATGCACACGTAGTTCCATATAATCATTCATAAACATATTATGAATTTCGTGAATTGCACACATAGTGCTGAAACATTTATTCATCAACATATGATGAATTCCGTGAATTGCACACATAGTGCCGAAACGGTTATTCATCAACACATGATGAATTCAGTGAATTGCACACATAGTGTCGAAACGGTTATTCATCAACATATGATGAATTCCGTGAATTACACACATAGTGCCGAAACGGTTATTCATCAACATATGATGAATTCCGTACTTTGCACACTTAGTGCCTATTTAGTAATCACCCCACACATATTAAGCAATCATACATATATGACTAGTATAACCTATAGTTACACAACATATAGTTACACAATTAAATGCACTCACCTGGATTGCCTTGCTATTGTATCCTAAACGCAAAGTTGATTACTCAGGTACTTTTCCTTTGCCTTTTGTTTTTCTTGACTCGGGAACTTGATTTCGATTTACTCAAGCATCCAACAAAGACATATACAATATTAATTGTTAGTATATTTCCTAACAATTATACTTAAACATTACTCAAGAGTACATATTATTATATTTTCTATAACAATCTTAGATTATCTTCACATTTATGGCTCAATAGTATCGATACCCTTACCTTGGTATCGATACTACCATACTATGGTACCGATACTCTATTACGGTACCGATACCATTTCTGCATCCTGTTAACAATGGTATCGATACCATCCTCATAGTATCGATACTCCCCTCTTGGTATCGATACCACTTGAATCGACATCGATACTACTCAGCAGATTCTACTAAATTTAAGCTTATAGTATCGGCACTGTTCTATCAGTACCGATACCAGTACCCAAATTTCCCATTTTTCATCGCGAAACATACCCAAATTTGGTCAAATTTCCTTATGTTTACCTCCAACAATACTATTTAACTCTTCTCTACTTATACCTACTAACTTTCCTTCATTTAGATACTTAAAACATCTAGCATCCCTCAAGATAATTTGATTCTAAAAATCACACCACATTTTTTAACTTGTTTTTAGACTCATCCAATGCTTCCAATCTCTCATTTAGCTCTTACCTTTGAAGCTATGGAGGAGAGCAAAACCCATAGGAAAAAAGAATAAGAAGAAGAAATAGTTTGTTGACTTGCTTTCCCCTTTTTCTTAAATCCCTAATTTTAAATGGATTTTTAATTTCGTTTCACTTAAAAAGACCAAAATGCCCATTTCATTAATCTATCTCTTACAAATGGGTCTTACTTAAGTCATTTCTTGTACTTTACCTTTTATTCAATTTAGTCCTCTAAATATTTAATTTCTTTCAAATTAGTCATTGACCTACTATTTAGGGTATTACAATTCTCCCCCTTAAGAAAATTCGTCCTCAAATTTTAAAAAAAGTCTGAAACAAAGAGGTGTGGAAAATGCTTCCTCATATCATGCTCTCTTTCCCATGTAGCTTCTCCCACCTTATGATTCTGCCAAAGCACTTTAACCAACATAATCCTTTTGTTACGAAATTCCTTTGTTTCCTTAGCCAAGATTCGCACTGGTTCCTCTTCCTCATAAGGTAAATATGGTCGGATCTCTACTTCTTCAAGAGTGTTACTATAGGATAGATCTGATCTATACCTCATAAGCATCGATACGTGAAAACCACTGTGGATCTTGTTCATATCCGGAGGCAAAGCTAATTGATATGCTACGGGTCCAACCCTTTTTAATATCTCATATGATCCAATGAATCTCAGACTCAACTTTCCTTTTCGCCCAAAACGTAATACAT